GCCCGAGGGGAAGGAGGCCGGGCCTGGTGGGCCCGGGGAGACGGGCCTGTCCCCGCGAGGGTGGTCCGGCGCCGCGTGCCCCCGGGGGCGTTTCCATTTCGGCGGTGTGGACAGCGACGGGGGGATGGACGCGAGGAGCGCAGTAACGCAGGCGACGCGCTGGTGGCCTGGACTCAGCCGTGCGGGAGGATGGAGGCCGGAGGTGCGGAGGCGGCGCAGTAGACGGGCCTTGGTGATGGACTGACGGGATGAGGGCGAGAGGCAGGGCGAGGGCGAGGCGCAGGTTCTGGCGGGCGGGCGGGAAGGATGGCGCTGCCGTTCTCTGTGGCAGAGAGGAGGGGAGCGGGTTCGCGGCGGGGCGGGGGAGGATGTGGACTCACAGGGGATAGCCTGGAGGTGTTTGGCTACGCGGGCAGAAGGAAGCTCAGAGACCAGGGCTCAAACAGGGCGTCAGAATGTATGGGAGCGAACGAAGTGTGTTAGTAAAGAACCGGGGACCAGCCAACACAGATGGCTGCGAGAAGAACCAAGAGAGAGCAAGGCTGCTGAAGCGAGGAAAGCGGGGTTTTCAAAAATTGGGGGCTTAGTCAACATGTCCAGTGTTTAGTCAGTTGAGTAAAAAGCATCAGTTGTATAATTGTGTTTAGCAACTAGTATAGCGTTATCTGTAGAATGTACGTATGTGTGAGCGACCACTGCCCAGATATTCCATGTTACCTCAGTAATGTCTTTTCTCTGTACCAGGCACTATTCTAGGTACTGAGAATACTGTGACTGTAGTGGGGAAGAGAAATAATAAACACATTAACCAATAAATAAAATAACTTCAGGTAATAAGTGATGTGAAGATTATAAAACAAGGTAAAGAGAGAGTTATGGAATACAGAAGAGGTTTCAGTGACATATGGAGTAGTAGGAGCAGAATCTAGAATGTAATAGGGTAGGCAGACTTTTTAAAAAAAGAAATTTGGTTTTAAAGAGGAACAACTTGTTTTTTTTAATTTAGGAAATGAGAAGCCATATTTTTAGGTTAAGGGGAAGGAATAAACTATATTTTTAGGTCAAAGGGGAAAAACAAATGGAGAAGGAGAATTGGAGATACAAGAGTCAAGGGATCTGTCTATGGATTGGAGGGACACCTTCTGAGACAGAAAGGAAGGAGATAAGGATATGTGTAAAGACAGATGTTTCCCGATATGGGCTTAAGGACTTGTATGATGATAATTTTCTTTGTGAAATAGGAGGCCAAGTTTTCTTCTAGGGCAGAGGAAAGGGAGCTAATGGAGTCACAAGAGGGAGGGTGGGGGAGAGAGTGCTGTTGGGAATGGAGAGGACCCCCCAGCAGGCACATCCATAGACGCTTTGTGATTCTGAAGACCCAACTACTGTGAGATTGGAGATTGATTGTCCTACTTGTGCTTTTTTTTTTTCTCCAGCAGTATTTGGCCACCCATGAATCTGAGTGCCCAAGGTGAATGGTAGTTAATCCAAGTAGTGGGTTAGCAGGGGAGATGTGTCAGAAAGATGGAAGTGGGCTTGGCGGGCAAGGAGTTCGAGGGTCTGCCCGGAAAAAGGCTGAACCTAGGCTGGATAGAGAAGGAACAGAGCCAGCCTTCTAGTGATGGATCAGACAAACCGGGAGGAGGTGTTCTTCCTGAGACGGAAGAGCAGGTGTAGTGAGACTAAAGGAAGCGGCACCCTGGATGGTAGGCGAGATTGTGATCAGAAACTAGAATGTGTGAGTGTAAGATATCAGGTGTAGAGCAGTTACAGGTGTTGGTTGTAACTACTGGCATTGAGGAGAAGGTTGTTTGAGGAGAGAAGGTGAGGGAACTGAAACTGAAAATGTTCAAGCTGATGTTGGGACCTCAGGTGGAAAGGAAAACTGTGAGCCAGACGCCCGCCTAGCCTGTGGAGTAGCTTAGGAAGACATTCTTAGCCACATTTAAAAAATAATTATGGGTCATGAAACTGAGACCCAGAGAATTTTGAGTGAATTGCTCAAGGTCACCCAGATAATAAGCTTATTTGAGGGGTGTCCTCATGGTAGTATAGTCTGGGGTGCCTGGCAGGGCTTCTCTTAGGCAGCACCTTAGGGAGTCATAACAATCCAGGTCTAGTCTGCCTCATTTCAGGGCTCAATGGTGGATGTTCTCAGCACACCCAGAGGTGTCATCTCTTTAACAGACTTGCTAACTGGTAAATAAACCAGGACACCAATTTTCAAGCATGTAATGGAGGGCATCCCTTCCCAGTGACTGGAATGCTTGATATCCTTCCAAAGACCCTTTCTTTGCTTTGGAGAAGCCTCCCAGAAGTTGCTGGGCTCAAACCAAGAGAAGTCATATAATTTGGGTGGAAATTATCCTACCTCCAGTGGCAGGCGACAGCTTCCAAGTGTTTGGGATTATATTCTCCCAGTCTAGAGTCTCTCTCCCTTGAAAGTGCTAGAGAAATGCTGATCACTTTTACTCTTATTTTCTCTGCACATCCTCTCACCTGAACTTTTTGACCATGTGCTTTGGGCTAGGGCCCAGTTAGTCTAATTTCTTCAGGGGTCCTGGGAGACAGTCTGCTTTCGTTCATGTGTGGAGTTCACCTATTCTCTCTGATGTGGAGATAGTAAACATGAGCATAATTGGTTCCAAATTTCTTTTGAATTAATAATTGTTATATTTAACCATTAATTCCAATTATAAGTAATGTGAAAATGTCAGAAGTTCTATTGAGGGAAAAGTAAGGTTAAACATTTGTCTGATAATATTTATATTTTGTGTTTGTATTTATATAATATAAAGTAAACTGTTATTACATTAATGGAACCAAAATTCCTGAAGCATTCTGGAAACTAGTAACTGTAACATAAGGAGTTAATTTTCCAGTTATTTGGAAGCTTGGAAAATTAACACAAACTAGTAGTAATACTTGAACAGCAATTGGAATCGTTTTTGTGCAATGAGTGAGATTTTATACAAAATACGTTTTCAATGCAAGAAAAATGGAAAATGAGGAAAGCCTCCAAGTAAAAATATGGATCAAATGGAGGATAAGAAGAAAGGCAGAATAATATTGTGTCATTGCTGCCTAATAAACTTCTCTAAAATTTAGTGGTTTAAAACAACATTTATTGGGGCCGGCCTGATGGTGCAAGCAGTTAAGTGTGCGCGCTCCACTGCCACGGCCTGGGGTTCGCTGGTTTGGATCTCGGGCGTGCACCGACGCACCGCTTGTCAAGCCATGCTGTGGTGGTGTCCCATATAAAGTGGAGGAAGATGGGTACAGATGTTAGCCCAGGGCCAGTCTTCCTCAGCAAAAAAAAAAAAAAAAAAGGATTGGCAGATGTTAGCTCAGGGCTGATCTTCCTCACAAATAAATAAATAAATATATAAAACAACATTTATTAACTCACAATTCTTAGGTCAACAGTTTGAGCTGGATTCAACTGTATAGTTCTATGGATCTTTGCTGGGCTCTCCCGTGCGTCTACAGTCAAATGGAGGGTTGGCTGGTGGCTGGATGATCTAGGATGGCTTCACTCACTTGTCTGGAGGTTGGTAGGCAGGTGGCTGGGGGCCGGCTGACTGGGTCTCCTCCTCAAGCCCTCCGGTTGGCTAGCTTGGGCTCATTAGATGGTGGTCTCAGGGTTCCAATCACAGCAAGAGAGGTAGCTGCAAACGCTCTTGAGGACTAGGCTTGGAACTTGACCATTATTTCTGCCACATTCTCCTGGTCAAAGCAAGTCACAAGGCCAGCCCAGATTCAAGAGGTGGGGAAATAGATTCCACCTCTTGGTGGGAGGAGCTGCAAAATATTGTGACTCGTTTTGCAATCTGCCACAAATATGTTGCTAATTTTGTGTCAGCACTATTCTAAGTGCTTTATGTGCATTAACTTGCTTAATTGTCACATCAACCCAGTGAGGTAGGTACTATTACTAAATTCATTTCATAGATGAGAAAACAGGTACTGAGAAGTTAAATAAGTTGCCCAAGCTCATACAGGCAGTGACGGAGCTGAATGTGAGTCCAAGCAGTCTGGTTCCAGAGGCTGCACTCTTAACCAATAAGCTATCCCGCCTCAGAAGCATGGTGGAAGAACTTTGTCACTTGTTTTGAGCAGAGTGGAGAAGGTTCCAGCCTTAACATTAAAACAGTTTGCTCGCATGGCAAACCTGGAAATATCGATGCATGCTTCATAAGTGAAAATTTGTAAAGGGAACATTAGAATGAGCTATTTCTTTACTAATTCAGTCTCAAAACTAGGATTCTAAATGGATCAAAGCTATGGCTTTATCTTTCCTTTATCGAACAAGCAACTAAACCAAAAATATCCTAAATCAAAGTTGATAGAAATTGTAACCTTTCCTCTTTGGAGTTCAGTTATTTAGAACTTTCAGCACAAAAGAGACTTTCGGAGGTGGCAAACAGTGTGATCAGGTTGTACGAGCATTTTTCAGAATACCAAATGGCTGCTGGCTAGTTCTGGCTCTGAACGGCCGTGTCAGGCTGTTCTCCCTCTGTTGCAGGTCTCTCAGGCAGCTGCGGAGCTTCAGCAGTACTGCATGCAGAATGCCTGCAAGGATGCCCTGCTGGTTGGTGTTCCAGCCGGAAGCAACCCCTTCCGGGAGCCCAGATCCTGTGCTTTACTCTGAAGACCGGTGAGTAATGATACATTGTGCCGTGTTGGGGCCATGGCATTATCACAGGGCTTCCCAAAGGATTTGGGCAACCAAGTTTTGAATTTCTACTATTCTTGGGGGAATTAAAAAACAGTGAAATGCACAACTTTCCCTGAAGGGTGACTCTATAGTTACCCTGGCTGTGGAATACATCTAATTAGGAGAGTCTCAGTCCTCCTTGGCACCAACTCATGAGATGTTAATATCCTTATGTACTTGAGCTCTTGAACTGAGTTGGCTGATAGTCATTTCTTGACCTTAATCCCACCCTCTCTGTCCTTAACACCGTCCCAGAGTAGTGATCTGGTGCTTAGTGCTATCAACTCACTTGCTGCTCTTGGGACTAAGGACTGCCCAGAGGAGGAGACTTGTTCCTACCACCGGCTGTGATTCTTTCCTAAAGGCTTTCAGAATACATCTCTGTGTTATAATGGAGGAAGAAATGTAGTACTGGGGAGAAGTGTGAGTAGGGTTAAAAGAGCTTTAAAAATGGATTTTTGAAATGAAAACACCTCTCTGGTGGCATGTTAGAAATTTCATGGGTTCTAGTGCTTTGTATTGGGGTCTCATTCAGATTTTCACTTTTTTGGGGGGAAAAAGAGAATAGATTATTGGAGTCTTTTGGGGCCAACATATTTCTTTTTTTTTTTTTTAAAGATTTTATTTATTTTATATTTTTCCCCCCAAAGCCCCAGTGGATAGTTGTATGTTGTAGCTGCACATCCTTCTAGTTGCTGTATGCGGGACTCGGCCCCAGGATGAACGGAGAAGTGGTGCCTCGATGCGCACCCGGGATCCGAACCCGGGCCACCAGCATCGCAGTGCGCGCACTTAACCACCAAGCCACAGGGCCGGCCCCAACATATTTCAAATTATGTGGTCTAAGGGGTGTTCATATAGTACATAATCATCTTAGGTCCTTTTTCACATGCTTGCAAAAGGAAATTGTTCACATTAGAAAGAAGGAAGTAATCATACTATCAGGTTCTATTGTACCTTTTAATGGAAAATGTCCACATTTATGGTATTAAAATAATAGTGTTATTGCTGGCATAGCACTTTTCTTTTTATAAAGCACTTTCATGGGTGATACTCATTCAATGGTGTGGTTTGAATATTTTTTGTATTAACCTGTTACTTTCTATTTTGAAAATCCTAAAGTGACCTGTGAAATGATGAGTAGTTAATTTTATGTATAAATCTTACTAAAGTGAAAACCTACCAAATTCTCTTTTCAGTAGGGAAGAAGTTCGCTGAGGAATGCTTTCAAGTGCAAAGTGATGAATAACTGCCTCCAGATCTTAAGAAAACACTTCTCTCTAGCCAAATGACTGAGATATTTCAGCCCTTTCCTGTGACCTGGTCCTATAGCCAAAATTCTACAGAAATTGATGAATTTCCACTCAAATAAGGAAACTGGGTGAAGTAGTAGACTTTAAATAATAATGGCCTGGTTCTTTTGGTGAAGTACTTTATACTTAAACTAAAACATTACCACCAAATATACCCAACACACCTCTTTCATAAATGAATTACTATACTGTTCCAGGTATTTCTATACCTGGAACATTATGTATGTTTTCTTTACTGGATGTTTACATTTTGGGAAGGAAAACATTTTTGTTTGTTAAAAAATTGAATATTTGTAATTGTTCCTGACTAAGATTTTTATACCATAACAAAATTTGTTCTTTTCTCATGAATTTACAATTTCTAAATGAAGACAAGCAAGTATAACCTTGGGGGAAGAATGGCCTTTACTAATCAAATGATGTCTTGATTTTTCTAAATGAGAAGATTGTTTTACTTGTAACACTAAACATGGGAGCTGTTTCTTAGCAAACTTGTTTGGAAAGATTAATGTTGGGCTGTATATTAGATTGCCCCACTTGTGTATGAAGCAGATTTGGTCTTTGTCTTCTTAAGTTCCTCTACTTTACAGTTGTAGTTGTACTTGAAGAAGAATACTACATTATTTCATGTCTTTAAAAAAATGTTTAAAATGTGTACAATGTTTAAAAACATTGTAAATAATTGAAAACAAAGTAATATGAAAATATTACAACCTAAATGCATTTTTAATGTCACAAGTGTTTTACTTTGATGATGTGCCTTTGATTTAATTTGGGACACTTTAAAAAAGGATACTTTTGTGTTTGTAATAATCTTTGAAGAGGTTGGAAATAAAATTTCTGCTTAATTCATCATTTTCTGTGACAGCAACATTTTGTGTCTGATTTTGTTTTAAGGCTTCATGGATTTCTGTTTGCTTGTAAGATTGAGTGTTTGGAAGTGGGAAGTGATATTTTTGTTTATAAGTTCTTGTAGAATTTGTAAAAAATAGATATATCTACAACATGCAGGAAGATCTCAATTACTGGCAACATTTGTTCTTTGAAATAGCTATGTATAAAACTATAAATAAACAAATGAAAATATCTTTGAGCATAAGTAGTGTTAAGACAGAAAACAGAAGTGTTAGATGGGAACCCCCTTAACTTGCGGCCACTAACCTTCCAAATCTAAGTGATCTGAATCCCTCCCATTCTATCATAAGTCAGGTATCCCTTTTCTAGCCCCTTCATTTGTTCTCTGGATCTGTTTCACCTCTGAAATGTCACACTATCAATTATCCTTTCTCTCCTTTGTCTTCAACCTCTTTATTGGATCCTTTCTATCAGCATTTAAACATGTTCCATTCGCCATCTTAACAACAATAAGTATTTTTTAAAATCTTCATTAAAAAACAAACTTTTGGTTATACAAGATAAGTCCTAGAGATCTACTGTACAGCATAGTGCCTGTAGTTAATAATACTGTATTGTATACTTAAAATTTGCTAAGAGGGTAGATTTTATGTTAAGTGTTCTTGTCACAAAAAATAATAATAAGAGGGCAGGAGGAAACTTTTGGAGGTAATGGATAGGTTTATGGCATAGATTGTGATGATGGTTTCACAGTTGTATACTTATCTCCAATCTCATCAAGTTGTATACATTAATTATGTACAGCTTTTTGTATGTCACAAAAAAGTCTTTTTTTTTTTTT